TGCAGTGAACTATAATGACACCACTGTACTCCAGTCTCAAAAAAAAAAAAAAAAAATTCAAAATGGATTTTTCTCATGACAAAGCATTTAAAAACATTTATGTAAGTATGTATGTATGTATTTATTTATTTGATGGAGTCTCATTCTGTTGCAGTGAGTCTCGGCTCACTGCAACCTCCACCTCCCGGGTTCAAGCAATTCTCCTGCCTCAGCCTCCCAAGTAGCTGGGATTACAGATGCCTGCTACCATGGCCGGCTAATATTTTTTTTTTTTTTTTTTTTTTTTGCACTTTTAGTAGAGATGGGGTTTCACCATGTTGGTCAGGCTGGTCTTGAGCTCCTGATCTCATGATCCACCCACCTCAGCCTCCCAAAACACAAAGCACCCACTGTGCCCAGCCTAAAAATTATTTTAAAAGCACTCTTAGCATTTTAAAAATTTATTTTCCTGAAAATATTATATGGGAAATGTTTAAAAGTACATTAATTTGACCTATCTTATACATTATTTAGGAAAATAAATTCAGTATGTATAAAATCGTAAAAGTCATCTTTCAACTTTCCTAATGGTCTTTCCAATGAGCACTTACCCACTTTATTTTTTTATTTTATGGTTTAGAGACAGGTTCTTACTGGAGTACAGTGGTACAATCATAGCTCACTGTAGCCTCAAACTACTGGATTCAAGCAACCCTCCATCTCACCCTCTTGAGTAGCTGGGAGTACAGGTGTTTGACACCATACCCTCTAATTTTTTTTACTTTTTTCTAGAAATGGGATTGGGGGGACTCACTATGTTGCCCAGGTTGGCCTCAAACTCCTGGCCTCAAACAATCCTCCCACCTTAGCCTACCAAAGTGTGAGATTACAAGCATGAGCTAACCTCATCTGGCCCCATTTTATCTTTTAAATAAGAAAACAATCTGGCTCCTTGATGTAAACGGATAAATTGATTTCCAAGGGGTCTTTGTAGCAGCCCAGTATTCCAAAGTGCAAAACATGTGACCAATGCTTTCAGTTCCCACTGTTTATCTGCCACTACCCTATTTAGCAGCAACTCTCAATCCCAGCAGTCTATGATCAAAGAAAAATCACTACCTCCTGTACCGCTAGCATATAATCCCAATATACAATTAGTTTGAGCTTATAAGATAAAATGATTTAAAATAAACCAAGTTTGTATGTGATATTGGAGGGAAAATATCTTCTAAATATGTGATAAAATTAGAAAATTTGAGTTTTTTTTTTTTTTTTTTGCAGGGGGTTGGTGGGGAGACAAGGTCTTGCTATGTTGCCCAGGATGGAGTACACTGGCGTGACCTCGGCTCACTGTAGCCTCCGCCTCCCAGGTTCAAGTGATTCTCCTACCTCTGTCTCAAAAGTAGCTGGGATTACAGGTACCCGCCACCATGCCCAGCTAAATTTTGGTATTTTTAGTAGAGATGGGGTTTCACCATGTTGGCCCGGGTGGTCTCAAAATCTGACCTCAAGTGATTGGTGGATCACCTTGACCTCCCAAAGTGCTAGGATTACAGATGTGAACCACTACGCCCAGCCTATATTTATTTATTTATTTTTGAGACAAAGTTTCACTCTTGTCGCCCAGGCTGGAGTGCAATGGCGAGATCTTGGCTCACTGCATCCTCCACCTCCTGGGTTCAAGCAATTCGCCTACCTTACTCTCCTGAGTAGCTGCAATTACAGGTGCCTGCCACTGCGCCCAGCTAATTTTTGTTTGTTTGTTTTTTACTAGAGATGGGGTTTCACCATATGTTGGCCAGGCTGGTCTCCAACCCCTGACCTCAGGTGATCCGCCTACCTCGGCCTCCCAAAGTGCTGGGATTACAGGTTTGAGCCACTGCACCAGCCCAAGATTTTCTTTAAGAGATGGAAGCCTCCCTATGTTGCCCAGGCTGGAGTGCAGTGGCTATTCACAGGCACAGTCATGGAGCACTACAGCCTCAAACTCCTTGCTTTAAGCGACCCTCCTGCCTCAGACTCTTGAGTAGCTGGGAGTGCAGGTGTACACCACCACAGCCAACTCTCTGAAATCCTTATATAAAGGGTAATATTCTAGTCAGAGAATATTATAGAACAATCAGAAAATACCAGCATAGTAAATTCAGACTTGCTTTTTTCCCAAGACGAAATGTTATTTATAACATCATCCCTTTTTTTTTTTTTTTTTTTTCTTTTGAGACGGAGTTTCACTCCTGTTACCCAGGCTGGAGTGCAATGGCGCGATCTCGGCTCACCGCAACCTCCGCCTCCTGGATTCAGGCAATTCTCCTGCCTCAGCCTCCTCAGTAGCTGGGATTACAGGCACGTGCCACCATGCCCAGATAATGTTTTGTACTTTTAGTAGAGACAGGATTTCACCATGTTGACCAGGATGGTCTCGATCTCTTGACCTCGTGATCCACCCACCTCGGCCTCCCAAAGTGCTGGGATTACAGGCTTGAGCCACTCATCCCATCAAACATTTTTGATATTTAACATTCAGAAAAGTAGAGTTAAAACAAAAACATGTAACTACAATAACAATCCAAGGTATTATTAGCTACTATACAAGACTGCAGCGAATACTGTTGCTCTCCACACACTTACACTGTAATATCTAAAATAAAAATGAATGAGGCAGAATTTTATAAATTAAACTTGAAAAATCTTCCATTGTGGGAAAAAATGTTCCTCAGATTAAGTACTGAAATTAATTAAAAGATTATTTCTAAAACAGAAAATGAAGACATGCTTACAAATTAAAGCTAACTGCTGTAATAGCAACAAGTCCATATGTATGCTAGCTTAGGCAGTGCCACATCAAACCTATTTTTAGCAGTTAAGAAGCTACAGAAAAATGATATCCCATTTGCTGGTAGAGAATCTGAGGCACAAAGAGGTTAAATGGCTTGTGTTAAAATCATAAAACTGGTAAAGGCAATGCTGACTTCAAAACCTAAATACCCTATCAACCAATTTAAAAAATGGGCAAAAAAATTCAACAAGCATTTCTCCAAAAATGACATACAAATAGCCAATAAACACATGATGACATGCTCAACACATCACTAATCATTAGGGAAATGTAAACCAAAAACACAAGATACTACCTCACACCCATAAAAATAGCTTAAAACAAACAAACAAGAAATAACAAGTGTTGGTGAGGATGCGGAGAAACTGGCACTCCTCTGCATTGCCTTTGGAATGTAACATAGTGTAGCCACTATGGAAAGCAGTATGGAAACTGCTCCAAAAAGTATACTTAGAATTACCATATGATCCAGCAATTCCACTTCTGGGTATGCACCCAAAGGAACTTTAGCAGGGACTAGATGAGAGATTCATAGACCAATGTTTATAGCAGCATTATCCACAATAGCCAAAAAGTGAAAACGACCCAAATATCCATTTACAGATTAATACATAAACAAAATGTGGTATATACATAAAATGGAATATTATTTAGCCTTAAAAATAAGGAAAATTCTGTCACATGCTACATGAATCAACCTTGAAGATTTTATACTAAGTGAAATAACCCAGACAAAAAAAAAGGACAAATACTACGATTCCACTTATATGAGGTACCCAGAACAGTCAAGTTTCTAGACAAACAAAGTAGAATGGTGGTTACAAGGAGCTGAAGGAAAGAAGAACTGAAGAGCTACCACTCTTTTATGAGTAGATTTTCAGTTTGGGACGATGAAAAAGTTCTGCAGATACGATAGTGATGATGGGTACCTATACACTGAAAAATTATTAAGTTTTATGCTATGTACATTTTACCACAATAAAAAGAAACTGTAGTCATCTTTTTTTTTCCCCCTTTGAGACAGGGCCTTGTTCTGTCACTCAGGCTGGAGTGCAGTAGTGTGATCACAGTTCACAGCAGCTTCCACCTTCTAAGCTCAAGCGATCTTCTTGCCTCAGCCAACCAAGAAGCTGAGACTATAGGAGTTAGCCACTGTGCCCAGCTAATTTTTAAAATTTATTTTCTGTAGAGATGAGGTCTCATTATGTTGTCCAGGCTGGTTTCAAACTCCTGAGCTTAAGCGATCCTCCTGCCTTGGCCTCCCAAAGTGCTGGGATTACAAGCATGAGTCACTGTGCCCAGCCTCCCCCAGCCATCTTAATTCTGAGATTATTTTTATTCCGCGAATTCAAAAGTTTCCAAACTTGTCTTACATTAGGATATTCTAAAAATTCCAAAGCCCAGACTACAACCCCAGGTTAAGACACAAGCATCAATAATTTTTTGTAAGCTCTCCAGGTGATTCCCACATCCAGACAGGTTTGGGAATCATTAATCTGTATTTCTACAGCCTTCAGAGTAAATGTTTTAAATTCTTAAATTTATAGGTATAATACCAGCATCAGGTATTATTAATATAGCTCCATGAACAAAAGATCTATATTAAAATACAGAAGTTAACATCTTACCTGTGAATTCTGTACGTATTTCTGTTCACTCAGTGAACACATTACTTAGATTACACAGTAAATAATACTTAGAAAGCAATATTATTCTGGTTTACCACTTAAAGTGTTCTGCAAATGCTGCTTTTTATTGTCGTTTTTAAGTATTATGTTTTAACTATTTCCTATAACTTAAAAAAAATATATGTGTAGGAGATATATGGGTCTACAGGGTCCATAATCTATCCCATACTTTTCATGCCTAAAATGCAGCTCCAACACTTGATAGCTTTATGAGCTTGGACAGATTTGTGAGAGTCTACAGTAAGAATCATAGTAAAAAATATATGGCAAGAAAGGCCAGGCATGGTAGCTCACACCTGTAATCCCAGCACTTTGGGAGACTGAGGCAGGAGGATCACTTGAAGCCAGGAGTTAGTTACAGATCAGTCTAGCCAACATGGCTAACAGAAAAACCCCATCTCTACCCAAATAACAAAACTTAATCAGGTGTAGTGGTGCATGCCTGTAGTCTCAATTATTTGGGAGACTGAGGCAGGAGAATCGCTTGAGCCCGGGAGGTAGAGGTTGCAGTGGGTCACGACTGTACCACTGAACTCTGGCCTAGGAGACAAAGCAAGACCCTGTCTCCAAAAAAAAAAAAAAAAAAAAAAATTATGGTAAGAAAATCTCAACAAGGAAGGAAAATAGGAGACAGAAAAGACTTTTTTTAGTCCTTAATTTTTCTCATAAATGTTCTAGGAAGCATGAAAATGTAGAAAACTGACAATGCAAATTCTAATGACATCATCACGTAAGATTTCAGAAATAATACGTATTAACAACAAAACAGCACAGATAGGCTACAGAAAAAAAAAAAATAAAAAGGCATGTCAAGTCTCCTGAAGCAACTATACCTAATTTAGCAGATAGTGGGTACTCTGATACAAGATATGGGATTCCTCTTGCCTTTGAGATTCTAGAGCATACTCACAATTTAGCATACAATTCCAGGAGGGTTCACTGACCACCACAGAAGGTATCTTTCACTAATAAACACTACCAAGTTCAACTGGGCTTAAAGCCCTAGAACTGTGTTGCAAATACAACAGCCAATACACACATATACCTATTAGTGACTTAAAATGTGGCCAATCAAAATTGAGATATACTTTAAGCATAGTACACACATCTAATTTCAAAGACAGTACAAAAAAGTAAACTATTAATACCTTCTGTATATTTAATTACATGCTGAAATGATATTATTTTGGACATACTGAATTAAAATATATTACAATTAATTTTGCCTATACATTTAGGTTTTTTTTAACTTTTTAAATGTGCCTAGTAAAAAATTTTGAATTACGTATGTGGCTCACATTATACTTCTACTGGACAGTAGTACTACATTAGATGACAAGGAGAGAGGAAATGAGTCCATAAAGCCTAATAGCAATAGCTCCTAGCTTCTCCAGAAATTAGGCTTTTCAGTGATAGTGAGAAACCCAACCAAAGTACATCCTAATGCTACTAATGGTTAACATATTTACAGTGGAGATTTACATCTCATGGTGCCTATTTTTAATCAGTTTTGGAGATCATGAGATAAAGTAAAAGCCATACATATGGCAGAAAATAAACACAGATTTGTGGGTGAAATTTAAAGCATATTCTTTCATTTACTTCCTTAAAAAAAACTTGGGCCAGGCACGGTGGCTCACACCTGTAATCTCAGAACTTTGGGAGGCCGAATCACCTGAGGTCAGGAGTTTGAGACCAGCCCGACCAACACTGAGAAACCCCGTCTCTATTAAAAATACAAAATTGGCCAGGCATGGTGGTGCATGCCTGTAATCCCAGCTACTTGGAAGGCTGAAGCAGGAGAATCACTTGAACCCAGGAGGCGGAGGTTGTGGAGAGCCATGCCATTGCACTCCAATCATGCCATTGCACTCCAATCTGGGCAACATGAGTAAAACTCTATCTCAGGGAAAAAAAACAAAAAACAAAAAAATTTGATGAATTTCTTTACTGAAACACCAAAAGTACTGTTTTAATTATAAAGATTCTTATGTAAATAAAGATTTTATGCAACACTACCCAAAAGAGTAACTTTTTGCAATGATGAAAATGTTCTAGATCTACATGGCCCAATAACACAATAACCATTTACAATAGCCATCCTTTCCTTCCTGTGAACTTTTACTGCTTTATCCCACAAGACCAAAAATTTATCACTGTCTGTGGAGAAGGTTTTTTACTACTAATTCATTCCAGGGCTCTCATCAACCTGATACAAAAGGTTTAGAACATACTAAACCAAACATTTAATCCTATTTCCTTTATGTTATATCTAGGAAGGATTTATTATATCCTATGTTTATATGTCTATATGTAACACATATATGTAATACAGACATACAAACACATGTATAGAACATGTAATAGTCTATATTGCCTTTTAAAATTGGAGTTAAAGATAACTACTTTACATAGAGTAAATATATCAAAAAATATTTAACAACATATTTTTTCCATAGAAATCAATTATATATAGTTGAGGGAATGGGGTAAAATTAAAGTATATATTAAAATCAAACATGCTCCTTATTAACATATTTCCCTCCTATACAATCTCATCTATCACTTAACAAAACCTCCTATGTCAACACATACTGTAAGATACTAAACTAGCTAACTAAAAAAAGAATTCTTTACTAGTATCTTTCTATTTTGTATACCCTCCTGGAAGCATTTAAAACTTTTGCTAAATACACAAACTTTACTGCCTACTCAGCTAAATGGCTGTAACAGATTCAACATTACAAAAAGTTTAACCAAATAGAAACTTTTTTTTTTGTTTTGTTTTTTTTTGTTTTTTGTTTTTTTTTTTTTTTTGAGACGGAGTTTTGCTCTTGTTACCCAGGCTGGAGTGCAATGGCGCGATCTCGGCTCACCGCAACCTCCGCCTCCTGGGTTCAGGCAATTCTCCTGCCTCAGCCTCCTGAGTCACTGGGATTACAGGCACGCACCACCATGCCCAGCTAATGTTTTGTATTTTTAGTAGAGACGGGGTTTCACCATGTTGACCAGGATGGTCTCGATCTCTTGACCTCGTGATCCACCCGCCTCGGCCTCCCAAAGTGCTGGGATTACAGGCTTGAGCCACCGCGCCCGGCCCCAAATAGAAACTTAAGAAAGTTCTTGGCGAGGCATGGGTGGTGTGCGCCTATAGTTGCAGCTACTCTGGAGGCTGTGGTGGGAGAACTAATAAAGCCCTGAAGTTTGAGACTGCAATGCATTAGGATTGTGCTACTGCAATCCAGCCTGGGCACAGAGCAAGATCCCATCCCAACTTTTTTTTTTTTTTTTTAAAAAGAGAAGAGGTGGCTCACACCTGTAATTCCAGCACTTTGGGAGGCTGAGGCAGGCGGATCAGGAGGTCAGGAGTTCGAGACCATCCTGGCCAACATGGTCTCTACTAAAAATATAAAAACTAGCTGGGTATGGTGGCGGGTGCCTGTAATCCCAGCTACTCTGGAGGCTGAGGCAGGAAAATTGCTTGAACCCGGGAGATGGAGGTTTCAGTGAGCCTAGACTACGCCATTGCACTCCAGCCTGGGTGACAGAGCAAGATTCCTTCTCAAAAAAAAAAAAAAAAAAAAAGGAAGAAAGTTCTCATTCAAGATAATCTTATTCAAATGCACTCTCAAACATCGCAACTTCAGAATTTATTTTATAGGAGAGACTAAAACTTACATTAAGTTGATGGTAATTACTACCACCCATTTACTTGTGGTCTCACTAGTAAACTCAATGCCTGTCACACGACCCAGTCCCCGGCAACGTAGGAAAACACCTAAACTATTCAACAAAACACTAGTCATCATTCTTTTAACCAATTATCTGAAGACTGGCTTGTTCCTGTGATTATTCTTATACTTGTGGGGTTCTTCACAGGTAACCTAGCTGTGTCCCTAGAGTTTGATTTCATTTCCTCTCTTTCAGTCCCTAAAGACTGTTAAACAGACAACTACATGCAGGTCCAGATTATCAGAAAATGAGAATTTTTATTTAAAAAATTTAAAGGAAGAATAAAAGATTTAAAAAAGGTAAGGAATATTATTTTCTCCTTTGTTCAGGTCAAATCAATTTCACAGCACAAATTTTCTTCCTTGACAACTCTTGTTCTTCTTTCAGAATACTTAATGCCAAAAGTGAATTGATCAGTAAACAAAACCAGTCTATATACTTTTTCAAAATGGTCTAGAAATGCATTAGTTTTAAATCAATCTTTATCTACCACCTTCCCTGTATCGTTCCACTGAATTCAACAGAAAAGAAGTCCCTAATCATAACTAAAAGACACTTAGCTGCTTGATTTTTCTCCTGCTTGCTTTTCTAAAGGAAGGAAAAATGCTAAGAAAGTTCCTGTAAAAAAGAGATTTGAGGACCAGCATTTATTTTTCCAGAATGAAGTCACTTCTTGTACCACAACTATGCTTCAAGAGTAACTCAAAAGAGCATATACTATTTCTGCTGATGCTTCACTAATAAAATACTATCTTAATTTAGTTCCCCCTCTAAATGGGTCAGCCCATGCAAAAACACTAATGCTCAATTACATAGTTAAATAATAAGCAGAATCTGTTGGATTCATGAAAATCTCCAATTAAAAGTTGTATTTTCAGCCAGATGCACAGGCTCATGCTTGTAATCCTAGCACTTTGCAAGGCCAAAGGAGGATAGCTTGAGCTCAGGAGTTCAAGACCAGCATAGGCAGTATGATGATACCTTGTCTCTACAAAATATACAAAAATTAGCCAGCCTTGGTAGCGTGCATCTGTAGTCCAGCTACTTGGGAGGCTGAGGTGTGAGGACTACTTGAGCCTGGGAGGTTGAGGCTGCAATGAGACATGGTTGGGTCACTGTACTTCAGCCTGCGTGACAAAGTGAGGGATCTGTCTCAAAAAAAAAAAAAAAAAGTTATATTTTCAATTTTCTTTCTTTTTTTTTTTTTTTTGAGACAGGGTCTTGCTCTGTTGCCCAAGCTGGGCACGATCATAGCTCACTGCAGCCTCAATCTTCTGGGCTCAAGTGATACTCCCACCTCAGTCTTCAGAGTAGCTGGGACTACAGGTGTGTGCCACTGTGCCCGGCCTTTTTTTTCCCCCCAAAAAGAGACAGAGGTCTGCACCCATAAAAAATGATGAGTTGGGCTGGGTGCGGTGGCTCACACCTGTAATTCCAGCACTTTGGAAGGCCAAGGCAGGTGGATCATGAGGTCAGGAGTTTGAGACCAGCCTGGCTAACATGGTGAAGCCCTGTCTCTACTAAAAATACAAAAATTAGCCAGGTGTGGTGGCAGGTACCTGTAATCCCAGCTACTCAAGAGGCTGAGGCAGGAGAATCGAACCAGGAGGTGGAGGTTGCAGTGAGCTGAGATCACACCACTGCACTCCAGCCTGGGCAACAGAACAAGACTCCGTCTCAAAAAAAAAGAATGAGTTCATGTACTTTGCAGGGGTATGGATGAAGCTGGAAACCATCATCCTCAGAAAACTAACACAGGAACAGAAAACCAAACGCTACATGTTTTCACTCATAAGTGGGAGTTGAACAATGAGAACACATGGACACAGGGAAGGGAATGTCAGACTGGGGCCTGAAAGGGAATAGGGAGCAAGGGGAGTGACAGCA